AATAAAATGTGTTAGACAATTTTGCGGTGAAGCGAGTGTTGCGCTAGCCTACTAAAATGCAAGCCACCTACCACAATTCTATTTCGAATAGTGTATATCCACACAATGGCTATGACACTTAGCTAAATTAGTGTGCTCTCAAAGACTAACTAAAGAGCAACACTAATCAAACAAACAAGCTCTCACAACTAGCTACACTAAAGAGCTTGATAACTAGTTTGCGGTAATGTAAGAGTGAGCAAGAGAGTTATACCGCCGTGTAGTGGTAGGAACCAATCAGTCACAATAATGAATACCAATGTAGACCAATCACCTCGGAATCAAATGATGAACACAATGATTTTTTACCGAGGTTCACTTGCTTGCCGGCAAGCCAGTCCTCGTTGTGGCGATTCACTCACTTGGAGGTTCACGCGCTGATTGGCATCACTCGCCAAACCCTCAATAGGGTGCCGCACAACCAACACAAGATGAGGATCACACAAGCCACAAGCAATTTACTAGAGTACCTTTTGGCGCTCCGCTGGGGAAAGGTCAAGAACCCCTCACAATCACACGATCGGAGTCGGAGACAATCACCTCCTCCACTCAACGATCCTTGCTGCTCCAAGCTGTCTAGGTGGCGGCAACCACCAAGAGTAACAAGCGAAATCCGCAGCGAAACACAATCACCAAGTGCCTCTAGATGCAATCACTCAAGCAATGCACTTGGATTCACTCCCAATCTCACTATGATGATGAATCAATGATGTAGATGAGTGGGAGAACTTTGGCTAGGCTCACAAGGTTGCTATGTCAATGAAAATGGCCAAAGATGTGAGCCACAGCCGGCCATGGGGCTTAAATAGAGCCCCAGTCAAATAGAGCCGTTATACCCCTTCACTGGGCAAAACGCGCTCTGACCGGACGCTCCGGTCATACTGACCGGACCCTGGACACAGCGTCCGGTCCACTGATTTTTGCCACGTGTCATTCCGAGTTCAAACTGAACCGTCAGATCTTAACGGCTAAGTATTGACCGGACGCTCCGGTCAAACCGACCGGACGCTGGAGCCACAGCGTCCGGTCAAGTACAGTAAGGGTCCAAATCCATTTTTCTTCGACCGGACGTGTCCGATCCACCTCGACCGGACTCAGCCAGCGTCCGGTGGTATACCCTAGCCACTGTACCGCCGAGTCAGCGCGACCGGACGCAGGCAGTCAGCGTCCGGTGCAATCAGATCCAGCGTCCGGTGCAATCAGATCCAGCGTCCGGTCACTTGACCGATGCTGGCATCTCCTCTGTCTTCTTCACCCTTGCTTCAACGTGCCAACCACAATAGTTTGCATTCGGCGCCATAGAAAATAGGCATTCCATTTTCCCGAAAGCGCTGAATCCCTCCTCGCACTGCCGGTTTCTAAATAGAACCACAGTGAAGATGGCTATCACTGCCGGTTTCTAAATAGAACCGACAGTGTAGGTGCATATATGTAAAGGACATATTTATTTAGATACTACAGTGGGAAAGTGTTAACAAGAACGATATATTTATTTAGATATTAATGAAATACATCAAAAGATTACAAAAAATTATAAATAAGTTACATATACGATAACAAAGACCTTACACTAAAATTCCATATACGATAACAAAGACCTATTTACGTACAGGTCAATGTTCCCATCAATGTGTATCAACACATTATAATTTAACCACCTCAGTAGCATTCTTCTTCCATCAACTAGGGTTCAAACAATAGCACCGAGGCGATCTACGAGCTATACCGGTTGGACATGATAAGGTGGAATCGATGAATCCATGCCTCTGCTGTACATGGCCTTTTTCTCGGTACAGTCCAAAGCACATCGGATTCAACTCGGCACCACAGCGGATGGCTCTATGAATCTCGTGGCATCTCCAATCTTCGGCGTTGCTCTATCTTCAGTAGCATTCTTCTAGTACCTAATGTGTGTACCATTTTGGTGGACTACGATGCATAACGATATCTGTGGTTTGTTGTGGGAGGAAAACATTGTATCATGGCTGATAAGGCCTGGCTGAAATCAACATGCATGGAGAGGCTAGCTCCTGGCCGAGGGCCATTTTATAGGGTCTAGCAGTCGTGGTACATTTTTATTTCTGAACTAAAGTTGTCGTGGTAGGTGGGAGCAGTGTTCCAACTGTTGTGGTCATGGAAGCACTGTTGGCATGTGAGGAGCATCTACACATCACTGTCGGTTTTAGTTAAAAACCGACAGTGAATTGGGCCTTCTGTGTCGGTTTGAGCAACCGACTGTGATAGAAGCTATCACTGCCGGTTTTAAAACCAAAACCGGCAGTGAAGGGCCCTGCCACCATCTTTTAGTAAAAAAATATAAAAAAAACATTGTCGGTTTGGAGCCTGCCATCGCAGCCTTTTTGTAAAAAATATAAAAAAGTTTGGCCTGCCTGAGATTCGAGCGTGGGTCACGGGGTCGAGAGTGCGCAACCTTAACCGCTGTGTTAGGATAGGGAGTTCGGTTAGAATGGTTTTATTTTTTTCCTTTATCCCATCGTAACGCACTACTAATATATGCCCGTGCATTCGAAAAAGGTTTCTCTCTTTTTCCTTTTTTTCCCCTCACTAAATATATGCACGTGCGTTGCACCGGGACACTATACATACTATCATTATTATTTATCTTCATAGATCGGGCTTGTTAAGTCTCTAAATGGTGTGCAACAATTTTGATCTGATTTTGAATATAGGTTCCAGATCAGCTTCACAGTGATCTGCAATTTTTTTAGGCGCAACTTGATGATGCATCTTTTGCTTTGTACATCATCAGCATCTACATACCACTGTTGTTTGCATATGTATCAGGTCTGAACTCTAGATTATCAATTAAACCAAGCTTGTTACATCCCCTTTCAGTGTCCAAATCAATGTATAGTAACACGATCTGCTATGACGTTCATGAGTTAACGTCCACAATATTATATAGTAATTGAAGGTAATGTCCACAATCTGTGTTTTGTACAAAGTCAATTTATTTAAGCTTGAATAATAATATAAAAAGATACTCACATCTATAACACAAAAAGTATATAATATAAAAATATAGGAAAAAAGTCCATATTACTCCCTCCAAGTTCGGCTAATGTCCAAATAACCCCCAAACTAACATTTGGTTCAATTTACTCCCTCCAACTATTTAAGTTGGTCCAACTAACACCTTAAAGAGATTTTTTTTGTTTCTCTATGTACAAATTATATTTTAGTTTCAAATTTTGTGAGGTGATAGAGGACATTGTATTTTGTGTTAGAAAAATGCACTATGAAATTTTCATCATTATGTTTTATACGATATTGTATCTCTAGTGTTAATTTATTATTAAATTTTCTAAGCTATCAAAATAGTGCCAAAAAGTTAAGATATATTTTTCTAACATAACTTATGATGCTTTCTCAAACTTGAGGGGAGTAATTTGGACTTTTTCCAAAAATATATTTAATGTTAAATCTAATTTGATGTCACAAATATTAATATTTTTATATAAAATTTTGGTTACGTTTATAAGAGTTTAACGTAGAACAACTCTAACGATTGATTTATCCAGAGTCAAAGATGCAGGGACAGATCTAGCAGTGGGACAGGCAGGGCTGTCTGGAGGCTGAAGAAGCTCCCTAGACATTTATCCTAGGTCCGTCCCTGCAAAGAAGGTAGATTACAGTTTGAGAACAGTGCTCCACCGATTCCTTAGCCGTCCGTTGTCACGTTCAGAAATAGAATCAGGGCGTACGGGTGCTGTTTGCATGCATGACGTGTCTAATTTAAACAGGTACATATAATGGAAGAGTGCTAATGATTAACGGCTGACCAGTTGCCATCAACTACTTCTGTAATACTTTTTAGCGAACAAACAGTGTTTTCCTTTCATAACAAATCAGCATGAGCCAAATTTCAGTGAAACGAATAGGGTAGGCGTCGCCATACACGTCCGCCGTAGGGGCGGCGCGCGCTGTTCCCCTGTAGCTCGCGGGCGTCGGCGTCTTCACGCGCGAGAACCTTCGATCCGTGCCGCTGCCACCGCCAGCCGCCAGCAGGCCACTGCACGTTGATCCACAAGCACTGGGAAATAAAAAGAGACGTGCGTACGTGGAATTCTCCACGTCTTCGTCTTCGTTTTGGTCTCGTTATTACGAAGAGTGTCGGGCACGCACACCAACACACGGTTGGACGAAAGACTTAGCTATTTTTTAGTTGGTACTAGATATAATAGCCCACGGATCTTGTTAAAAAAAATTAACCTTTGTTCACAGCGAAGTCACTGTATCCCGATCCCGATCTTGCCAAGTTTTAATCTTGGTCTCGCCAGATTGGAATGGACAACATGGAATCTATCAGAAAGGCGATGCCAGTGACAAGCAACCGTCCATGGGGAAAAACATTCAAAGAATAACAAGTAATTTTGTTCTGTGCCTTTCATCTTTTATCAAAACCTTCTCAATTTTTTACCACAACATCCACGTATGATATCATCACATCATGACAAATCTCATGATTTTCAGACTTCGTTTGCTTTTTTTAGTATTTAAAAACCATTCGGCCACACATTCGTGGTCGTGTTTCCCGAACAAGATGTTCAAAATTTCTTTTCATTTCTGGGGTAATGCCTCACACTGGACTCAATAACATGAATATCATTTTTCTACTCATTTTATTCTATTATTTGAATCACTTACAGTCAAATTTGACTTATACAAAAAAAATCCTAGAAATACAATAAATTAATTAAATATAGCAAACAGATCCACAAATATACCAAATTTGTGAGGAAGTTCTTGGTGAGGAAGTCGGCGAAGTCCTCGTTGTCCATGTTGGTGCGCATGATGCAGGCACCCAGCGGGAAGCTGTTGGACACCTGGCGCACGCGCACCTCCACGCCATTGGCGTCCTTGATGGCGGCCCCGTCGGCGCCCGTCACCTTGAGCACCACGTCCCGCTTGCGCACCTTGTCGGTGAGCTGCTTGAGGTGCTAGACGCGGGCCTTCCGATCCACGAGGAACACCTGGAGCCCCGCGACCATGAGGTCGACGCCAGCGTCGGGGCCCTGGACGTACATCATGACGCACGACGCCGGCTTCGCCTCCACGCGGAACGCGCCGCCGACCTCATACCAGCGCTCGTCGCGCGCCAGTACCTGGCCGCCGTTGATCCACTGGCTGTCGACGACGAAGGCGATGTTGATGGTCTGCGGCGCGCCGGCGCCGCTGGCCTGCTGGGCACCGACGCGGACCTAGGCAGAGACCTGGTACGTGGCGTAGAGCGTGAGCTTGTCGGTGATGATCTATGCGGGGCCCATCCACGTCTACGTGCGGTTGGTGACGTGGATGTGCTTGCCGTTGAGCGGCTCGTCGTCCAGCGCCAGGGACTCCTGCGCCATTGGCGGGAGCACCCGCGGACCGCCGTCGTGGACGGATAGCATGCAGGGGCCCAGTGGGAACCACCTGTTGAGGCCGTCGTCCAGGTTGCAGTTCTGAATGATGTTGGAGCCGTACTCAAGATTCTGCATCACAGCAGAAACCAAAGTAGATTGCGTTGCGTCATCCAACTGAACTGGTGCTGGCCTGGCCCTGTTCCTGGCTCGTGCCATCGTGCTCTTGCACGCCTCGCTCGGATGGAGCCCGCACACGCCGAGGGACACTACGTAGAAAACCCTTTCCAGGGGCGGTTGGTGACGCTCTGTAGGGGCGGTTTTGTAGGGGCGGTTGGTGTTATTAGCCGCCCCTACAAATCGATTTGTAGGGGCGACTGGTACTGTAGCCGTCCCTACAAATCGATTTATAGGGGTGGTCTGGGAACACCAGCCGCCTCTACAAATCGATTTGTAGGGGCGACTACAGTATCAACTGCCCCTACAAATCATTTTTCTGCCAAAAAAAATTTAAATTTACAATTCAAATTCGACCAGAACATATATTTTTCAATTAGCATTAAAGATAAACAAGTAAACTAACCAACCTTGTTCTGCCTCAAAACCATATGAACTTTAACTATGTCAGATATATTTACATATGGAGCAACCCATTTTTATATGGAAAGGGAATTTTCATAATTTCGTCAAACATACCATAGCCGCACACAAAGAACTCAGACTAAGAAAAAAATAGAAATACAAAGTAAGGCAGATTGCATCATCTTTGCCTTAAACCACTATAGGAATGTATAGAAATTACTGAGTACACCAAGTTCTGACCACTGGTGTGCTTAAAAAGATGCTTTACCTGCATTATGAACTTCAAATAGTTGTTGATAGCATAGAGAAAAGTAGATACTGCGAGAAGAACATTATTGTGACCAGCCTGGCCAGTGAAGAAGGATGGTTAGTATGGTGGACAAGATCACTAAATTCGTATAGTAATATTTCAGAGCAAATCAATTGAGACCTATGGACTACAGGAAGTAGTAAAAGATTCACTGTACAGTTTCTGTAGAAGTTTACATGAGCTCTCTAGTCAGATGCGATATTATGCATCAAAATGACAGCATATGGCCAGGTAATCAAGGTCCTATTCTCTTCAGAACTAGCACGCATTTCCAACATATGGGTTTTCCAAGAGAACTATAAACTCAAGATACAAATCAGGAAGGAACTGATCTTATCCAAACTATAAACATGGCATAGTTTTTAGGGTCAATCAGTAGGTTGAGGTGCATTAGGTCTATATGGAGTGTGAGGATTTGGTGGATGATACTTTCAGAGCTGTAAGGATTTTGCTGTCTTTTAATGAAAGTTAAAAGACAGGGGGCATCAGCCATTGAACTCTAAAAAAAAGTGCAATATTGAAGCATCTCAAAGTAAGTCCATGAAATATCTGAAAGATATGATCGTCAATAATGCAGAACTACCAGGAACAATATTTTTAAGGCAAACAATATAATCAAATGGGACAAAATAATATTCCTATAAGATTGAAATGCTACATGCAAACAATATTTTTAAGGCAACGAGATTACACTGCAAACATAAGATCAATAAACTCACCATCCATTAGCATCACGGCGTTCATAATTTTTTATCGTGACTTCTAGCTTGAGGGCTTCCATGACACAAGTCATATACTCACTGCACAATGACAGCACCCAAACTTAGTGGTTAAATAGGGCAGCACCAGTTACACTTTTAATGTTATTATCTGTTCTATACTCTAGTATTTACTGCTTACTAGCTTTTCACAAACCTGCATGTGTCATATTTACATGCAGTTTATCTTTTACCCACCAGTGTCTAATCAAAATCATAAAGCTGGCAAGGACTCCTCATGTTATGCTGTATTTTTCCATTTAGAAAGCCATAGTTACTAGTATACAGAACAAAAACTAGGAATATCTTGTAGCTCAATCTTTGAGAAGCTTTGGTTGCTCAAGAAAATCAAGGATAACACAGTACCATAGAATAGAAGCTTGCAATTACAGCATACAGAACAAAAACTAGGAATATCTTGTAGTTCTCATGCCCAACACAGTTATTAATCCATATACAGTGGTGGTCCTGCACAGGAAAAGTTGTTAAATGCAGATTAGAATTAAAAATACGAAAAAAGAGGAGTTGCGCATAGCACTAGTCAGTACCATTCTTAGAACACATCTTTTGCAGACACGACAATGGTGCGCTCGAGGAGGTTTATAATGGGAACATTTCTGGCAGTATCTCAAGTCACCACCCTGCAATGTTCTGGAGTAAGTTAGCACACAGTCCCCTGTACTAGTCTGATTTAGTCACAAAGACTCCTTTTTAACATTCCTCACAAAATAAAATTACTACACTAGGATGACACTGCCCAAGATGAGATGGAGGATAACCAGCGATATGCAACCCGCTGAGATGCTGGCAAAGTGGCAAACTCATATGCTAGTTTATAAGTAGTCAGAGGGAACTATTATGTTTCTGATTGTAATACTAATGGACCATGGCCCCCCTAGAACTCTAAAAAAACCAGAAAATGCATGTGAATGTGAATCTAAAAAGAATCTACTCTTAGTCTGTGAGCACTATAGGATGGTTTGTGAGCACATCAGAAGTCTTTGCCTGTGAGCAGGTACTACACAAATGTCACTACAAAACTCATCAGGCTATCTTAAGGAGAAAAGGATACAACACAATCAGGTAATATAGACACAAACTGGGATACTTTTTTTTATTCCATTATCTGGAAAAACTTTGAGTGTGTGCACATGTGCACCAAATTCTATGATTCAGTAAGCTATTTTCTCGAGCCCAAATGAATTAGTTATATACTAAATAAATCAGAAGAAAATGATCATAGAATAGACACTGCTGAAACAAAAATCTGAATCTGAACTCTGAGTTAGGGATCAAAATTATCAAACTTTAGGACCTTTTATCTCCTGAACCATTGAGAGTTAGACCTGAAACCTTAAACCAAAATGGTAGAGCTATATACCAAGAATGATTGTTGTTAAAGCCAATTAAGTTGTTTACACATGAAATTGATAGGAATGGATCAATGAACAGAATTGGTTCAGGGTCTAAACAGTAGGTATTTGACTTGAAATAACACATATTCACATTCGAGAGGCAACAATATTGGTGCTAAACTAGCCACATATAGCAGACACTAAAAATCAAAGTAACAGATCTATCTAGATTTGTAATAGGTCCCTGATCCAAACTTTTCCCCATTTGAGAACTGGTGACACGCATGCCTCTGTACAAGGAGAAACGTGATCAAAATATGAAACTACTCTGTAGACACTTGATAGAGAACAATCTAAATGAATCATCGAGAGTAGGCAAGCCAGTTTAGCGAAACTGTAGCAAATTCCTAGAAGGTGTAGCTTGCAAGGACATGACTTGTAGGAACGAGAAATTCATCTAGAGACAGGAATCCAAACCTGAGACAGCAGCCGCTCCATGGATCTGCCCCCACGACGCCAGCGGGCACACGCACATCCAGGCCCTCTGCACAACTCACTGGACCCACCTACATGCTGAGCTCCAGGAGGCAGAGGACTCGTCGGGGGAGCTCGCTAGCGCCGCAGACATGGGATCCGGGTCGCCGGAGAAGGGAAGGGAAGGCGGGGGTGAGTGCGGCGTGTGTGGCATGGAGGAGACGAGGTGGCGTGGCTTGCGCGCTCGAGGCGGGGAGGGAGCTCCATGGATCTTCCTCCGCGCCGCTCGCCGGACATGCTGCCATGACCTCGATGCAAGCTGGATCCGTCCGAGTGGCGTGCCAGCAGCCCGCTCTCCGTGACCTCCTCCTCACCAGATCTGGCGACGCCGCCGGAGGGGAACAGGTTGAGGGACCGTGCCTAGATCTTGGCCTCCGTGGAGCTGTCGTGGTTGGGGAATGGGGAGGGATGGTGGCGGCGGCGTAGGTGTAGGGGAGGTGGCGATGGCGGGGACCAGAGAGAGAGAGGGGGGGGGGAAAGGATCAGGGGAACGGGACTGGGCGACAGACGAGAGGTGGGAGATATTTGTTGTACGAGTGATTTGTAGGGGCGGCTGGTGATTGAGCCGTCCCTACAAATTGTAACACTGGGGGCGGCTGCTGAGTGAGCCGCCCCTACAAATCGATCCTATTTGTAGGGGCGGCTCGTATTATTAGCCGTCCCTACTGTGCTATTTGTAGGGGCGGCTGATCTACTGGCTTCTGAGCACGTCACTTTAGGGGCGGCTCCATCACCAGCCGCCCCTACAAAAAATTTATTCCGTTACTACAAACCGTTTTTCACGTAGTGGGAGCCACTGAGCCTTGCCGCGTGGGCTCAGGTGGGCGGGCGGGCACAGCACAGGACAGCCACAGCCAACCACTGCCCCACTGCGACAGACGTTGGCCCTGGCTGGTCTCCACCAACACACAGACCAGAGGCCGAAGCCGACGTGCATGCATGCATGCGTTAGATTTAAGGTCAAATAAATGGCATGGACCTGCAGTGAACCATTTTCAAAGTTGATGAACCAAAAAATGCAGTTACAAAGTTGATGGACCAATATGACACCCCAACGAAAGTTAATGAATCCAAAAATGCAGTTTCAAAGTTGATGGACCTAGATGACACCCCAACGAAAGTTAATGGACCTCCGGTGCATTTTACTCTAAAAGAAATCGTGAAACTTGAACTTGAATATAAAAACCAAATTGCACATCCGGATCCACCGAAACAGGAATTGCATTTAAAAGAACACTTGGAACTTGAATCATATAGCACATGAAACAATTGAATCAATTAAAAACTCAAACAAGAGGCATAAGCCCATACATAGGTTCGTCATGCACTTGCCTTAAGTTTGGCGAGAATCCGGCATGCGTGCCACCCTCGGCAACGGCGCTTCCCAAACCCGAGGAGCAAACTACCATAGGAACTAATCCACATCGATCACGAAGCTATTTTATAAAAAGCTCAAGTAAACCTCTTAGTCGAACCCAAATATGTCAATTCTCATATTTTTAGAAGATCCAGTAAAATTTGAGTTCCTTGCTGTTTAGACCATAACTCTCAATTCTATTATCCAAATGCAGCAAATAAATACATGTCAGATATCTACAGAAAATTTCCTATAATTTGGTTTAGAAATCCAGGACCAATTCTGACTCTAAATACCTCTAAAATAGATAAAAGATTTATGCA